TACCAGCTCCGAGCTCAGATCCACAACCTCAACTATGAAGCTCATCGCCCCAATCTCCTCCGCCCGACGCCCTCCTCCTGAGCCGCCCGCAGCCCTATCCCGCCGCTACCAACTCCAGCGCGCGCTCGCCGCGGCTCTGCGAGCCGCCACCACTGCACGAACCCCGCGCGCCAGCCTCGAACGCCACCGAGCGAGGCTCCGCCTCATCCAGACTCGACCACCCCGCTCACGCACCGCGAGTGCCTCCCCTAAGCCCAAGCCTCACTGGCCGCCCATCCTCCTGATCGCGCCCCCTCTCCTCTTCACTTCATCCTGACATCAGCCGAACCCATCAACCCAACTCCGCTGTCGACAACGCCGCTGCTCGAATCCTTGCCGCCGCTCTCCTACACCGCTGCAGCTCCTCCATCACCTTCACCTCTCCTCGTCGCTGCCTCGAACTGTTGTGCACGTCACCGAAACAGCGAACAGCAAACAGCGGCATCACCTCCTTATCCGTAGACACGTAGCCTCGTATAGTAACGTTGAATCATCCGACAATAACCCGAGGCAAGATCCCGATACTCTCTTGATTTGTCATTCAATTCATAGGCCACTGTGAATTAATTAGTTACTTGCAAGATCCCTATTCTTGCTCAGTACAATTTTAGTTTGATCACAGATTAATTATGCATAAGAACTCATTTTTTGAATAATTATTCGTTACAAATATAGAACTGTCGTGAACATATTGAACTGAGAACTATAACGTATAGAACTGTCGTGGACGTAATGGACTGTGAACAATAACGTATAACCATTCACGTTGTAATACATATACTGTGATGACCTGCACGGATTTATTTAACGAATAATATTAAAAAGTATAAAAATAATATTATGATAATAGATGTTGTAAAGATAAAATAAAATAAAATTATTTTAGATTAATTTATAATTTTAAAGAATTTATTTGACAAAATAATAAATTTAGAATAGTTATAATAAATTATTTTGGTGAAAAATTATTTTAAAGTAATTATAATAAATTAATAGAATTTATTTGACAAAAGAATTATTTTAGAATAATTACAAATAATTTAAAAGAATTTATTTTAGAATAAGTATCAATTTAGAATAATTTTAGTAATTTAAGAAAGTTTTATAAAAGGAATTATTTTAGAATATTTATAAATATTTTTAAAGGATTTATTTTAGAAAAGGGATTATTATGAATTATTCATGGTTTAGATTTTAAATATTTTTAAAGGATTTATTTTAGAAAAGGGATTATTATGAATTATTCATGGTTTAGATTTCTTAAATTAATTATGTCATATGCTATGATATTGTTGTATATGATTAGTTACATTTATTCCTCTTTGTTATGTTTGAGAACCGTTAGAAATTCATGACTAGTGTAGTCTGGTGTGTCCTTTTTAAGACTTAGAAACATGTGTGTATGTTAACTTAGAAAAACAAGAGAGTTGGGGTGGGAAAGTCATTGTTCATGTGATCGGATAAGGCCGTTGATGTATCTTCCAGACTCGCGCCAGTGGTTGGTGTCGCCACGAGGGTTAGTTTGTAGGGCTAAAGTGAAGTGTGTACATCACTTTGGTCAGTGGGAAATTTATTTCGTCATCCGGGTTCTGTTTGAAGTTCGGACCAGGCAGAAAACGGATTGCGTGTAGTCCTCTAGGCCGCATGTGTAGCGGGATTGGATACACGTAGGGGATTTGTGAACAGTAAGTTATCCGATGATATGAAACGTTGACTCTGTGTGAGATATATACCAGTGACCTGTTATACAATTGCTAGTAGTATGACCTCGTTACTTGGATGATTAGTCTGATCGCTAGATGCATGACCTCGTTACCCGATCGATTTTGGATTCTTCTGATTAGTATATTCTAATGGTGGATTTCATTTAGATTAATATTATTATTATTATTATTGTTCTTGCATTGGTCGTTCGACCGTTTCTACTTTCCTTGTGGGATCTTGTCGTGTGCGATACACGCTGACGTACACCTATTTTCTCTGGTGTACGTCAGATTTAGAGGACGGACAGGTCCAGTATGATGATGCATTAGAGCAGGAGTATGCCCAGGCGGAGTGTCTTCCAGGTGGAACAGAAGAGCAAATGGAAGCTTAGTCTTTTCTTTCACGTAGTCACTGATGGACACTAGATTACTTATGTAGTATATTATCCTTTAGTCTTTCGAGGGACTTAGTTATTTTTATAGTACTTCCTTCTTATTTTGTTGGACTATGTATTTTCTTATTTTAGTTGGACTGTTTTGTAATAAGGGCATGTTTGACCCAAACTTTGTGTCTTGGATGATATTCTATTCGTGATATGTCTTTTTTTATGCTGAGTTGTTCATTATATTCTCGCTACTTTGATCGTGGATCTGTGCCTTTGCATTTATTTCTTGACGCTTAGCATATTAGGTTGAGGAGAAATGTTTAATTTTATTTATTCTCCTTAATCTAACACGTCGCGGGCTTGCTCGTGTCTCGGTTCCTTGATATTTTAGGAAGCGGGACGTGACAGGTTTTAGTGGTGGCCCATGCAGGTCAAGGTCCCGGTCACGATCCCGATTTCCTACTAGTGAGAACATAATGAATAATTTAGACGCATATCATATTTCATCCGTAAGACTATACTTAGCCCTTATCCTAGTATTTTGAAAAAATATATATTTTTGTCCCTATCTTACTCAATTTCGATTTGATTTTGACTTGATTTTCTTAGTCATCCTACAATAATTTTGATCCTCGTTGCCTTCCCTTCAGAACCATAGTGGATACACGTAACAATGGTAACCCATCCAGTAGTAATGTCCCGCCTCTCGAAGTGGACCCGCGCTAACTTTTGGCAATGATTCAGGGACTGGCGACGAATCAGTAGCATTTGGCTGGGCACTTGCAGCGGGAGCCTCACCAGCCTCCCCCTCGTACAGAACCTGGTGTTAGAGAGTTCTGGGCGACCTCCTTCTTTCTTCGGTGCCGAAGGACCTCTAGCAGTAGAAGAGTTCCTGAAGGTTACCGAGACTATCCTTACGGTGACCCGCATTGCCTCTGCAGAGTGGGTGGACCTTATGGATGTCCAGCTCATTGATACGGCTCAAATCTGGTGGGCTGCTAAGAAGACACACCTGGAGAGGCCGATTCTGTGGGAAACATTCACGGAACCCTTCAATAGGAAGTATTTTCCACAGTCAGCCTGGGATGAGCTTCTGTGTAGATTTTTTGAGATCAAGCAGGGAGGACGAACAGTTGATGAGTATGAAGCTGAGTTCTATTCTCTTAGTCGGTATGCTCCCCATCTGGTTACCGACCCGGCTATTAGGAAGCATCAGTTCCAGAAGGGTCTGGACAAGTATATCAGGTTGGCTCTGGCTGGTAGAGCACTTACGACTCACGACGCTGTACTGGATGCAGCGCGTGAGATCGAGAGTGTTCAGAAGGAACCAGAAGATCCACATGTGGTTCAGAGTAGGACACCAGTAGCTCCATCCCAAAATGTCGAGCGTCCCCCCCGAGGTAGCAGTAGGCTCCGCAGAGGCAGTAGTTTTCCCAGCGGCAACCACTTCATCAAGGCCACCCCTATCAGCGCCCTGGAATGCAGACTCGTGGCCAGCCTTCGGTGAAGTGTTCCTATTTTAGCCACACTGGGCATACTCAGCAGGAGTGCCCCAGGCGTCTTCATCTCTACTTCAACTGTGGGTCCTCCGGTCATGTCAGTCGAGACTGTCTGTAACGACAGCAGGCCCGCTTACCCCCACCTCCAGTCCGGGCAGGTCTTCCAGCTCCACCTCGACCTGCTCCATTAGCACCGGCTTAGCAAGGACCCTATCCCCGAGCAGGGCCTCTACTTTCTCAGAAGCAGTTTTATTAGCAGGCACAGGGGTAGCAACCTCCACGTTAAACATTCATGATGTCAACTATGGAAGCTGAGGCGAACGATCAGGTTATCACTGGTAAGAACTATCCATTCTTAGTTTTACTTGCATATGAATTTTTCCTTATTTAGCATTACTTGATGATAGCATGATAGGATTTGTTATGAGTACTAATTTTAGTTGCATTTACCTCCTCCTATAATAGGCAAGGTTCTTATTTCCTCTGTTCCTGCTTTATCACTCTTTGATTCTGGGGCTTACCATTGTTTCTTGTCTCATCGATTTGCGACCGCCCACTCTCTTCCTATAACTCCTCTGACCACAGGCTGGAATATCAATACTGGCAGTGGTGTCTTAGTAGTATCCAGTGGTTATGAAGCATGCCCTGTAGTCATCTGCGGGAGAGAGCTCTTTGCAGATTTTCTGGTAATTGATTTGCCAAGCTTCGATGTAGTTTTTGGAATGGATTGGTTGGGGTCATTCTTTGCCACCATTAATTGTCGCCGTCGGAGTGTAGTATTTGAGATACCGGATCACCCGAGGTTTGAATTCCTTAGTGGCAGTACATCGGCTGGACCTGTAGAGTACAGAGCTAGACCGAAGAAGGCGACATTAGCTGCAATACAAGTGGGACCCGAGAAGCCAATTGTAGTTCGGGAATTTGAAGATGTATTTCTTGATGATATTTACAGATTGCCACCGGATCGAGCAATTGAGTTTTCCATAGAACTGAAGCCTGTAGTTGCTCCGATCTCCAAGACCCCTTATCGTATGCCTCCGGTTGAGTTGACCGAGCTTCGGACTCAGTTGGATGATCTTATGCAAAGAGGCTTGATACGACCCAGTGTATCGGCCTGGGGGGCACCTGTGTTGCTTGTGGGAAAGAAGGATGGATCCAAGCGGATGTGCATCGACTACCGGGAGTTAAATGCTGTGACAGTGAAGAATAAGTATCCACTTCCTCGTATCGATGATATATTTGACTAATTAGGAGGATCAAGAGTATTTTCTAAGCTGGATCTGTGGAGTGGATATCACCAGGTGAAGGTCAAGGACTCTGATGTTCCCAAAACTACGTTCCGGACGAGATATGGACATTACGAGTTCTTAGTGATGTCGTTTGGTGTGACTAATGCGCCAGCGACATTTATAAACCTGATGAATCTGGTTTTCTATGATGTGCTAGACAAGTTTGTAGAAGTCTTTATTCATGATATCCTAGTGTACTCTAAGAGTGAAGCGGAACATGCGGAGCATTTGCGGTACGTGCTGAAGATCTTGAGAGAGCATCGACTATTCACCAAGTATAGTAAGTGTCAGTTCTGGCTAGACCGCATTGCATTTCTAGGACACGTGGTGTCAGGAGACGGTATATCTATGGACCCGGATAAAGTAGCTGCTGTTAAGGATTGGCCTACCCCTAAGTCGGTGTCCGACATTAAGAGCTTCCTAGGATTAGCTGGATATTACCGACGTTTCATCAAGGATTTCTCGAAGATTGTAGAACCAATGATGCGTCTTACGAGGAAGGATATTAATTTCGTCTGGTCCGACGTTTGTGAGCAGGCGTTTGAGGAGTTAAAGTCTCGATTGATTTCGGCCCTAGTCCTGATGATACTGGATAAGAGCGGAAATTTGAGGTGTTTTGCGACGCATCAGGTAGAGGATTGAGATGCATTCTTTAGCAGGATGGTCATGTGATAGCATATGCTTCTCGTCAGTTAAAGAAGCATGAGCAGAATTACCAAGAAGCATGAGCAGAATTACCCTACCCACGACCTGGAGTTGGCAGCTGTGATTTTTGCTCTTAAGCTTTGGAGACATTATTTGTTGGGGGAGCAAGTGAAAGTGTTTACGGACCACAAGAGCTTGAAGTACATTTTTACTCAGAAGGAGATCAACATGAGACAACGTAGATGGTTAGAGCTAATGGCAGATTACGACATTGACCTTCAGTACCACCCTGGCAAGGTCAATGTAGTACCAGATGCTTTGAGTCGTTTGCCGGCAATCATGACCCTCACGGCTCAGTGGAAACTTTAGCAGGAAGTGAGGGATATGAGTATAAAAGTTCTACTTCCAGGAGTCACCGCTTCCTTGATGAATCTTCAAATAAAATCGACATTGGTCGAGCGAATCAAGGCTGCACAATCAGGTGACTCATTTCTTCCGAAGTACAGAGAGTTAGCATCGACTGGTCTTCGGTCAGAATTTGTTGTTCATGAGGACGGATCCTTAGGATTTAGGAGTCGTATCTGTGTACCAGAAGGAAATGTTCGAGAGGAGATATTACGGGAAGCTCATAGCTCACCGTATTCTATTCATCCTGGAGGTACGAAGATGTACAAGGATCTAAAACTAAACTTTTGGTGGCGTGGTATGAAGAGAGATGTGGCTCGTAGTGTGGCGAAGTGCCTTGTATGTCAGCAGGTGAAGGCAGAGCATTAGCGCATCGCAGGTCTTTTGCAGCTATTACCTATTCCGGAATGGAAGTGGCAACATGTTACCATGGACTTCGTTATTGGCTTACCTCGGAGCATTAGATAGAATGATGCTATTTGGGTGATCGTAGATCGATTAACCAAATCGGCTCACTTTATTCCATTCCGAGTAGGACAGTCAACAGAACATCTTGCTCAGAGATACATGGAGGAGATCGTATGATTGCACGGAGTTCCAGTATGCATCGTTTCAGATCGTGATACCTGATTTACCTCAGAATTCTTGAAGAGTTTGTAGGCGAGCCTTGGGACCAATCTCAGTTTTAGCACAGCTTATCATCCTTAGACCGATGGGCAATTGGAAAGGACCATTCAGATTTTAGAGGATATGCTTAGAGCATGTATGCTTGACTTTCACGGGTCGTGGGAAGATCACTTGCATTTGGTGGAGTTTTCATACAACAATAGCTTCCAGGCTAGCATTGGAATGGCCCCTTTCGCAGCATTATATGGGAGGAAGTGTCGCTCTCCTTTGAGTTGGGACGATGTTGGTGAACGAGAGATTTTTGGACCGGAGTAGATTGATAAGTCAGTTGATGTTGTTAGAATCATTCGGGAACGACTTCGCATAGCACAGGACCGATTCAAACATTGATAAGTCAGTTGATCATGTATTCCTGAAGATTTCCCCCAACCGAGGTAACATTCGCTTTGGAAGGCTTGGAAAGCTGAGTCCACGAGATGTGGGACCTTTCGACGTATTAGAGAGAGTTGGAGAAGTGGCGTATCGACTTGCATTACTACCCGCATTGGCTAGAGTGCATGACGTATTCCACATTTCTCAGTTGAGGAGATATGTCAGAGATCCGAGTCATATTGTAGATTTCTCGGAGATTGAGGTGCGACCTGATTTGACATACGAGAAACAACTTGTGGCAATTCTGGAACAAAGAGAGAAGACTCTCTGGAACAAGACTGTTACGCTTGTTCGTGTGATGTGGCACCCAGATTCTCCTGGCGAGTTGACTTGGGAGACTGAGTCTGAAATGAGACAACGATACCCTCATCTGTTTCCTGAATCTTAGTTGTCACATCTTGTACCTTACCCTGTATTGTTCTTGTCTTACTTTCTCCCTGCTTATGAATATGCAGTTATTTGAATCATTCTCTATATGTGTTGAGTTGAGTATCTCTTTCAATATCTCTGTCATGAATATGCAGTTATTTGAATCATTCTCTATATGTGTTGAGTTGAGTATCTCTTTCAATATCTCTGTCCTTGGGTTCTTTATACATCACCATTATTTTAATTCCGAGGACGGAATTTGTTTTAAGGGGGGTAGGATGTAATGACCGTAAAATTTTGATACTAGTTAAAATAAATTTTTGGTATTTTAAAATATTATTTTTAAAAGAGTATTGTATTTTTCTTGATTTTCTAGAATTTTCTATGATTTAAAAATCTGATTATATATTTATTTAAATGATTTTGATATTTATAAATTAACTTAGTGTAGTAAAAATTTTTGGAATTAATATGTTGTGTTGTCGATACTATTACGTATCATTTTGAATAATATGTTTTATTATTTTTACTATTACGTATTTTTTGTATAATACGTTGTATTATTAATTACGTATTATTTTGTACAATTTTTTGTATTATTACTACTATTGAGTATTATCCGTTGTATTAGTATAACTATTACGTTTTATTTTGTAAATAATTTTTCCCATAATTATTTAATTTAAAAAATAAGTAATTATATTTTTTATTAATTATTTTTGTTTAAATACCTGAACCTATTTGAAAATAATCCAAAATTTTTGCTTCCCATCAAACCCTCAACCATTCCCCCTAATCACGTTCTCTTCCTCCTTATTTTTCCAAGAAGACTGCTGCCCACGCGCATCCTCACTCATTATTTTATTTTATTTTATTTTTTTATTCAATTTTTTTCTATTTAAACCCAGCATCACACCCCTCTCTCCTCTCGTGCTCACCCACTCTCTCTCTCTCTCTCTCTCTCT